TCGATGTAATTCAATTGGTGTTGACCCCTCTTTTTGCACGTTTCGGAGTGAAAGTGCCTAGGGCCTACGAACACCAAAATCTGGCCTTGGAGTTTTGTATTCAAGTCTGTCTTCAAGTGGCACAGTGGTTAGCATCACTGCCTCAGAGCAACGGGGTCCTGGGTTCAATGCTGGACCTGGGGTGTTATCTGCGGGGAGTTTGGATGTGCTCCCCATGTTTGCATGGGTTCTGGGAAAACTGGCTCTGGTGTGAGTGAGTGCATGTTTGTGTGTGTGGACAGGCGTGGACAGAAAATGAATGGGTAGAGGTGTTCAGGTTCTGTGTGCTGATGTTGTTGGAAAGGATACCCTTGAAGATGGCTATTTAAGAAACTCAGGACTGAGTGCAGCAACTACAGTACTTAATCAAACTCCTAAACAAGCCAGCAGAATAATCAAAGACCTCAATGAGCACTGTAGAGTTCGTTGTGTTAGGATGTTGACGTCCTCCACTTAGCTGGAACCAGGAGGACACAGGGCAGGGACACAAGGGGGCCTCAAGGCTTCAGTTTAACTTCAGTGGTGTAAAAATGCGATTCCTGCTGCTCACCAACAAACACATGGACAAAAATCACTTTGATGACGACAGCAAGCTTTCCAAGACAGCAGATGTCAGCGGGAGACTCTATTCGTCGGTGTCTTAGGGCTAGTAAATTCGGTAATGAAAAATAACAGCAAGAGTATTAAAGAGTCAAAAAATGTTATGTCAGCAGGATCGTGACTTTGTCACAGTCGATTGAGTTATCTTTATCTCCATCCCTTCTAAAAGTTTACAGCAGCATGGTTATATCTGAGTGGGTCACAGTGAGATCATGATAAAACCATGGGAAACTGTAACGTTTGGTACCAAAATACCCTGTAAATTTACCAAGGTAAATGTTCAGAATGTCACACCTCACATCCCACTCATGTGAAAAGCTCACACTAAGGAAAGGTTATGGTACCAGGGTTCTTAGTTAGACCCAAGTGGTCCCCTGGGTCTCCACGGAATAACTAAATCCCTTACAAAACACGCAGATTCCGTTCAGAAGGTGTTTTAGGCTAAAATCAGACCCAGATTCCAAGAGCTGCAAGGCAATTCATCGAATCTGAATTTTAAATTCTGCATCGATTTCTAGGGGAATTCTGATCTTTGTTTGTAGAAGCTGGAATTGGCAGGTGTTTATTGTGTATTCAAAGAAAGAATCAGCTTTCTTTCTGAGAGGCTCAAGTGCAATAGGTTAAAGCTGTTTGTTTGCTTTTTTATTTTCTGAAAAATGCAAGTTGCTCTCTTGTAATGATTTTGATCTTTTTTTACCGATAAACCCTGAGACTTTCTCAACGGTAATAGGTTTTTCTGATGGTTTTTTTGTTCTTGCTTTCTTTCAAAGCAAAAAGAAAAGTGAAATTGCCCGGGCTCCATCTCTCTTTCATTCCATTATCTTACAGTACAGAGAGATTTCGATAGCTGCCGACAGCGGGGAGTCTGGCCCTGTGATCGCAAGCTTGCTTGTTAAATCAGAGAAGCTGGCAGGTGTGCTTGTGAACACTCAGAACAGGTTTGAAATGGTAATTTTGCCTACGAGTCGTTTGGGGTGAAATTGTCAGTCTGTGCACCAAGTTGAGAAAATCAGAAGGTCTCATCTTTTGCCTGAAGTTCCTCTGGCTTCTTCCTGATCTGACGCATGTAGGTAGCAAACGGAAAAACCATATTCTCTGTTCTGGCAGAGCTGATAGATAAATGTGCTGAAGATGGCCACTGACTCATTGCTCTGCTTTATCTGCGTGGTGCAGAGTGCAGGAGAATGTTGCCTGTTTCAGGGTTGTACGCAGTCCACCATTGCTCCTCCCGAAGCTCTGGGTGAGGTAGGTGTTGCAAATGGGGCAGCCAGTCATGGCATTTGATCAGTTTTGTTTCTTTTGACCTCGCTACTCCTTTGTTCATTCGATGGCCTCCCAGATGTCAACCCTGGCAGCAGTGTGGGGGCGAGCGAGTCCCTGCACGCCCTCCTCCAGAATGTGTGGAGTTAGAGCCACGTGCTGCTTCTCCACACCAGGAGTCCGTCCCCCTCTGCCCACGGCACAGCCAGCAGTTGACCAAGAGATGCAGTGAGGAGCCCACAGGTGGCTGGCATGCTCCAGACATCTCTGCCGTACAGCAGGCATTCCTGGTGTTGATTAAGCCAGCAGTACTCGGCCAGTTGCATCCTGCTGCTTAAGCAGTCCTACTTTCAGCAGATGCCTGGACCTTAGGGCTCAGCCTGCAGCTCAACTGAACATTTTTACCAGCGTTTAACCACGAAGGAGCTGCCTCATCGATGATGGAGTGAAGTAACATGAGCAAACGAGGGGCAACACAGCAATATCTAGTCTTACTTCAGGACTCGAGTTGAACAGCACCTGCTAGGATTCCAGTGTCAGCGTTTGTCTGCTCTCTGTTGTGCTGACTCTGCCATTCACATCTTTAAAACGTGTCGGGAACCGTTGCTTTTCTAGAGTGCTCAGGTAGGGGTAGTAGTTACTTTTAAAAATGGACTAACATCGTGTGCGGTGGCGGGGTTTTGTTTTACCACCTCTTTGAGTTTCTTAACAAGGACTAAAAAATGATAATTGCGTTGACATTCTTTGTGGTAGTAGTAGAAGTAGTTCAGGTGGGGAGCTGCGTCAGCACGCGTAAGCTGCAAAGGAACAAGTAATACAGTAGGTTTATTCCCTGCTGAAAAGAGAAGAAAGAAAACACAACGTTTCGGCCGTGGAGCCTTCTTCCAGTGTCTCCTTTCTTCTCTTTTCAGCAGGGAATAAACCTCTTACTTGTTCCGTAGTCGAAGTATTGTTGTTACTGTTGGTGTATTTCATTGTTGGTGTACGTATGGGTACAATTTTAAAAATAAAAATTCACTAAAGAACAAATCAACCCTGTTAAAAGGAAGTGTAACTGTAATGACTACATTTTCCTCTGTACGGTTTTAATTTCTTTTTCCTTTCTGTCTCTGGTATGGTGTAGTTGATCTGTGTAAACTGAATGCAGGGCACATTAACTTCATCTTGTAGACAACAGAGAATCAAATCATGCAAAAGCAATGTAATTTTGATGAAGTGATTCTAAAGCCACGCTATGAAGGCATCCTGTTATTATTGCATGAGCAAGATGTTAGAGAGTGCCTTGGCACGCCAAGGGCGTTCAGACCAGAAGTTCAGTTGGACCCTGTAGAGAAAAGGAAACGCTGAGTGTTAAATCAGTACAAGAAGAGAGCCGAGCATCTTAGCCGTCTCATGTGAAAATGGATGAAAATCTCAGGGGCCCAGTACTTGTCTGTCTCACAAATAAAAAGAAAAGCAAGCTGTTAAGCCCAACTTCATCAAAGAAGGCAAAACCAGAAAGAAAATCCTTTCATTTCCTTAAAGATTACAAGAAAATCGATGCACCTCAACCACTGTATTTCTCAGGCACACTCTGGAACTGCAGTAAGTGCTAGCTCAGCTTTCTGCATGAAAACGTAATATTTGACGTGGCTCTTAATGAAATATTGGACACGCTGACGGTGGAGAAGCAGGAACGGATGCCAAAGAATTGCTTTCATGATTATATGCCTTATGCATGCTGGTGCTGCAACAAGGAGCTCTTTGTCATTCGATTTCATGTTTTCTAGCGCAGGTCCTCAAGCCAAATTAAATATAGCTGAGAAGCAAAGCTTGCAGATCTCTTTGGGCATAACTGGGAAATGGAACAGTGTCTGCGAGACAGAATTTGGGTTCAGAAAATATCAGTGAAGATACTACAGCAAAAAAATCTGTGATCATCTGTTTATGGATATTAAACCCATTAGTGCATTAGAACACAAAATATTGCTTTGTCCCTGATTCTGAAAAGAGATCAAATTGTTGTCTGTGACGGCATCTTTGCAGCCTGCAAAACTGTCCAGCAGTCACTATAGATTAACGTCTTGCCATTTCTGTAAACTAGCGGAACCATTAGGAAAGTGAATGATGAGACAAGTCAGGGGGGGAACTAGTGGAACCTGGCTGGGGACTGTCTTTCTGCCTTGATGATGCTTAATGGACTCAGGACTCTTCCTCTCTAGTCCTGGAGGGAGGACTTTCTCAGTCTCTTCAGATCGTCAACAGCCTAATATCTTCAGAAAAGAGATACATGAATCTAGGGGAAGTTTAACTTTCCTTAGATTAATTTAACTTTAATGTGTTAAAGACATATTTAACGGTAAGCCTCTAAAATCCAGATTTTGTTTTTTAAAGGCACACGTCACCTGACATCCTTTTGAATACCTGTTACAGAGCCGACAAAACCTTTCATCTCTTCCTCAATTGTAATATTATAAATTAAAATAACGTGCAAAGAAAAGTGATCTCCAGAACTTCCCTAACTCATTCAGGAATGGCTCTTATCTCCCTGTCTCACTGAGCGCAGCTCAAATGAAAGACCGGAGCTTTCACGGGGAAGTTTTAATTTCACTTTTTGTTATTAATATGGTCTTTTTAATTAAAAAGGAATCGGGAAGCTTCTCTTCTTGTGTTGATTTTGCAGTGCCTGCATAACTGAATAAGGTATTGTAGTTGTTTTACAATAATGAAGTGAAGATTCACGGTGAGAGATAGCAGCATCTATTCACAGTTTGCATCAGCTGTTTCAATTTATGCCTGTTCTGCAAACAAAGATGTGAACAGCGCATTGGAAATCAAATTAAATTGGGGAATGTAAGGCCCCAGCACTTCGGATTCAGCTATGCTTTCACTTCCACCTGGAGTGATGCGTGTGGTGGGATGAAGGGCTATTTACATTTTACAGAACTTTTTTTTTTAATTGAGATTGCTTCAACAAGTGCAATTATGAATTAATTACTGTCTGACAGTTTGAAGCAAACCAATTTTCATTTTAAATTATGATTCTACTGCTGCCAAAAATAGATTGAGCGTTAATTATCTGTAAATTAATTGGACATATGGCTGCTTTTTCTTTCCTGCAGATTTCTTGGAGTACCACCCGGTAGAGGAAGCTGCCCCCTCACGGGACCTTTGCCCTTTGACCTCATCTACACCGACTACCATGGCATGCAGCAGATGAAGCAGCACATGGGTCTCTCGCTGAAGAAGCACAAGTCAGTAGATGTTCACTCTGATGAGCTCTGGTCATCTGTGACTATCATTCCTCCACTCCAGTCCTCAAAGGCCACTGCACAACACACTTTATGGGTCTTCTTAAATGATTATCTGCTTTAGAGCCCAGGAAGAAAGTGGTTAGTCATTTTTCTAGGTATATCAGTGCTGCAGTGTGATTTAAGGTGTAATGTTAGGGGAGTGACATGTCATGAATTAAAGACCTGTTTATTGCCCGTAGTGTTTATGAGAACATTGCTGACCTTCTGCCAGGCCACTCTGCCTCCTGTTTCACTGCAGTTCCATGTCCTCAACTAATTTGAGCAGTAAAACATTTCTGGCCCCATATGAAAACTGTGGTTGGGTTACTGACGAGACCTCCAAGGAGCAGCTCTTAAAAAAAATAAGTCAAAGGCGAAGCTCTGAGTAGCAGACTGCTTTCAGTGACCAAATGAGGGTATGATCTGTGTGCTCTGAGACAGAGCATTTATGCTTGAGACAAGCCCGCTGTCCTGTATCTTACATGAACTTCTTTAAATGTATTAAGGAAGTAATTATTCTTTTTCATTTAGTTCATGTGTAGAAATCTTCTTTTCAGATACTCATAATTACATTTGCTAACTGTCTTGTTAATTAATACTTTGCCTATGGAGCACAGACTCTCTCCCTGATTCAGAGGCAATACCAGCCTTTGCTGTAATTTACACTGATCAGGAAGACTGAATATTTGATCAAAGCGTTAGTACAGTATACATTTGTCTGATATGTGAATTAATGGGGATATACCATACAGTATACTGTATAGTAAATGTGAAATATGGAAAGTAGAAGCAAAATACAAATAGGTGGGAATAGTAATACTGGTTATGTGGCAAATTCAGTTTAGGGCACGGTTTATGCTTATTCTGAATATTACTTTCCTTCCCAAAGTGTTCCTGGAATTACAAAAATTAAAGTCATGACTTCAACACTGTGCCCAATCCACAGAGACATTTATTTCAACCAGATGATCTTCATTTTGGTCTTTTTGTGAGAAGAGAAAATGTTGAGCTTTATTAGACAGGGAAATGAACAGCTAAATCCGGCGTCGTTTGATTTAAAATCCAACTGGAGGAGTCGCACTGCTCTTTGTGAGAGGGTTGTTTTCAAATTGCATCTCCCGAGTCAGACTTTTGTTTCTTTCATTCTCTGCCTGACCTGCAGCGCGCCTGTCAGCAGACTGCTATTGTGATTCCAACATCCGAACGGCACCGACGAGAAAAAATTAATGATTATATTGCCGCACGGCACAAGAGCAGGCCGGTTTTGCTTAATACTAACGCTGGTAAACATGACCCTTAAATTACTGATGGCATGTATTTTTAAGACCTAATTATGTTCCACGCCAAGCAAGCGGGACTCATCTGTTATATTTTGTGCGCAAGCAAAATTTTATGGTCAGTTTATGTGCTTCAGAGCCATTGAATGCTCAGAGAATTATGCGATGTGATGTAGAGCTGAAATATAATGCGCTCCTTGGAAGAAATGCTATTCATTAGCACTTCACTCTCCCTCTGAGCATACAAAGAAAACTTTAAGCAACTCATTTGACAAATAAATATTCCACAAAATACAAAAGAGATGTAAAACGTGTAAACAAGAGCAAATGTTGTGCACTTAAATGCACTATAATGCTCTCAAGAAATGCACTGTGATACAACGTTGTGAAATTAGAGCAAAGTATTGTAAAGACCAGAACAGACTGGTCACATAAAGCAGACTACAGTCTTGTTTAAGCTGTAACAATGCTAGGTGAATAACCTGCTCTCCTTGGGCCATTCCTTGCAAATGTCTAAAGGTATGTCTTCACAGGGTAGAGCCACACTACTCAGTGCCTGGTCATGAAAACTCATCGTGAGACATTTCTGTTTTGTATTACAATGCAATCAGTTTAGATATTAGACAAGCAAAATCTTAGGAACAAGTAATAGGTTTATTCCCTGCTGAAAAGAGAAGAAAGAAAACAACGTTTCGGCCGTGGAGCCTGAAGGAGCTACCCACCTGAACTACTTAAGCAAAATCTTAGTTGACTTTTATTATCTAAAATGTACGTATTAGATATTAACTACAGGTATTCAGTAGATGCTGGAACCCTAAACATAGCCTGATTTCACATGCTGGAGTCTCTCTCCCAGATTAAGAAGAAGCTTGATATTAAATGCTTCCCAACAAACTCGAATAGAAGGAGCAGTTTGTGGATTCAGGGTCTCCAATCTTCTAAAGTTCTGATCCTCTCGGACTCAAGACTTCTCCGATTTCGTTACTACTGTACATGACCTCTCAATTAGTCCATTTAACAAATCACCTTCTTAATTCATTGGAATGAAATTTGCTCCAAATCTTTGAGACTGATGATCTGAGGGTGACCTCTAAAATACAGGTCAGGGACTCTCCAAGACTGGGGCTGGAGAGCTCTGCCCTTTTCAAACTCCACAGCCTGCACTCTTATTAATGCAAACACATACAGTACTGTAATTCCCCCTCTTCCTCTCCCACAGTTGTGCTCTGCTGAGCTGTATTCTGCCACAGTCAGTTCATGCACCTGTTGTATTTTGCTTTTTTCGTTTTCATGCCTCTTCTCCTACAGTATATGATAAACTGCTAGTGGCCTTCTCTGTCTCCAATAATTACTGCATACCAAGATCCTTCCTTGTGTTAGATTTCCTACCACTGCATTGATTGGTTTGGCCGTTAAGGGCACAATAATTTAATTTTGAAAGGGCAGCTCTTTGACTGTCTCTCTAAACAGCTATGCCTCACACAGAGACTATGCAAACCCTCTCTGGCTCATTAATGTACTGCATTAAAAGGATGGGCTACAAAAATGCATTATCCACATAGAGCTCTGAGAGCCCAGCGCATCCTCAAGCTGGCCCTGGTGATAAAAAGTGTGTGTACGTTGAACTTTCAAAGTTGTTCAATTACTTGTATTTATGTGTGCTTCCAGCAGGGTTCATTAGTAGTGCTATATTGGTTTATATCCTGTGCTTTAATTTCCACATAGAGAACGCAGGGCCATTTAAAGATGCTGAAAAGCGATAGAAGGCGGTTCTAAATCAAAACAAGCTGATAACAGGCCCCGACTTATTGATTTGTGCGTGCTGAATTTACAGCGCAGACACAAAGAGAGAGAGGGGAAGAAAGCACAAGGCTGTCGCCTGTTATCTCCTTACTCGCAGGCTTTCCGAATCTCTCTCCTGTAACCAGCAAAGCGACTGCTCTGGCATCAAGAGACTCCTGGCTATTGCCAAGAATACTGCACAATCTAATTCTTGCCCCCTGCACGTTTGATGCCTTATGTGTCTGTTTAACTGAAGGGCTTTTGAGGAGCACTGGTCCTCTGAGAACGTGAGCATCGCCTATAGGGATCCTACAAGGAAAACAGGACTCCAATTGAATAGCAATTTCAACTTGTCCTGGCTTGCTCTGATCTTAATAAGATACGCCACTGGTGGCTTCAAGTGCTGTGCATTTAAGAGCTGTTTTACTTACCCCTGAGATGGTGTACAGTATCTATTTACAGAAAAACATAAAATACCAATATAGGAATACCTAAAGCAACACATTTTTTATGTCCATTCCTCTTGCTTACTCCAGGATGCTTTTCAGTCTTCTGTACTGTGTCAGGTTAGATAAGAGCTCCTTTCTTGCATGCTCTTGTGCAGGAGAGATCTCGTGCTTGATCTAGCTACATCCTCCACTGATTCAATCTGTCAACCGTAAATGCAGCAAAGTATGACAAGATATTTATCTCACATTGACTTACAGTCTAGATCCCCTGTGGGGGGATGAAATAATGACATTAAATACCATTATATTATTGCTTTCAATTTTTTATGGCTGATCTAGTTTCACATTGTGTTTCCTGAAAAAAACAGAGGGTTTTAGAAGCTACAACTTTTCCACCTGATGAAAGGGAACACAAATACAGTAGCTATTATATTTCACAATTCTTTTAAGGGGGGAACAACTTTTGATCAATTACGTGATGCAGAGGCCTTACACTAAAGTTAAGATGATCTAATTCTGTGGGAATTATGTTTGCCATCATGACAACGGGAGTCTTTACTGAATAAACAAGCACAGAGCTGAGTTATGGAGCCTGATGTGATGCAGTCAAGATAACTCACAGCCACAACAGAACTCAGGATGGGCGACTGCAGAGGCACAGACTGTCTCTTAACGTCTCCAAAGCTCCAGTTCTACATCCGTAAACTATAACATAAGCCACTGATCCGCTTTCATGGTCCCACACTCCCTTCAAAAATGTAAAAGCAAAGCTAAAGGGTTAATATGCACCTGATCATATAATAAACACCTTTATGTATTAGTCCAGATGCCCAGATATTTTATCTAATTCAGTCATTTTTTGCAATTTTTCTTTATTTTGGAGAGCAAATTTAAACAATTTATAACATTTAATTTTTTTTTTACTTATTTACTCTAAAGGTTGCCTGACTGCTGAATGGACAGTCTTGCCGCACTCCTGTCCTGTTGACACATTCTGTCCTCTCAGGAAGAACAAGTTTGCAGAACATCTCTTTTTAAGACGTATCTATGATTTCTACTCCCTGCCTTTCCAGAGATCTCCACTGGTCTGGCTGGTTGTATTGCTTACTCTGTAGTATCTAAACTCTCTCTACAGTATCTTATCTCACTAGGATCTATTATAACATTAGGTTATACTACTGTATATCATTTCTGTACCTAGCACACAGATGCTGCTAAATAAATTCACATGAATGTATTAAATATAATAAATAAATTGATTGTACTAAGCAGTCCGAAGAGGCCATGCAATACTCCCCCAGAATGCAAATCAAGACAAGCAGTATGGAATCAAGGTGGATACAATAATATTCTGTACCCAGATCCTGGGTTGCACCCACAAGGATAACACTCAAATCTGTCTGCCAGATGAAAAACCTGCAGGATGCTTGCTTGCTTCCTGCTTCATTTGTTACCCAGAGGAGGCGAGGCTGGGTGGGGCCTTCCCCAAAGATCAATGTGTCCAGTGGGGTCCTGTTAACCCGAGTTTGAGAAAGGTGAGGAGAGCATTGGGAGAGGGGGGGGTAGGAGGCAAAGTGTGCCAGAAAATGGGAGACTTGCCTTCTAATTGTGAAGGTAACTCCCGTCTGGCAGGCTAAAGTGTTGCAGGCGGTTTCTTTCTCGGGACCTGCTGGGATCTGCTTGGGTCTGGATAAGCACTTTTACAAGACGGCTAAGCAGCAGAAGCGCGTGACGGCCTCTTCGCTGTCGGCATTCATTCCAAGTGGCAGGAAGTGGTCAACGCATCGAGCCGGGCAAAGCCGCGCTGCCTGGCATGAGGGAGGCTCAGTTAATGATGCAGGAGCTGCCCCTGCTCTGAGCAGGGGGAGGGAGATGCCGTGCAGGCGCACAGGGCTCAGCAAGCGCAGGACCTCCCCACCGATGAGCCTGCTGCCTCCCTTTTTGCCAGCCAGTCTTGCTGCCACGTGCAGTTAATGGTCTCAGAGGGGCTCTCGTCCTCAAACACGGGGGGGACCACTGGCTCCACCCCGAGCTTGTCTGTTCGCAGAGCTAATGTAACCGGGCTCAGCCGTTTGTTGCTGCAGTCCCCTCTTCTTCAAGCTGCTAAGGGCAAATCCCTTACCATAGGGGCTACAGGAATGGCCAGCCCACTACTACTCCCTACTGTCCACCCTCGTCCAGCCCCATACAGTACCTGCAGAGAAATGCCCACCTACAATTACGAGGCCCAGTTACTGTACGTTGCTGAATCTCTCTGTTGCACTGGTACACATCGCTGCACCTGAAAGCACATAGCGTGTTTCCCGCGTGGAGTGGGAGTGTTCCTGATCCACTTCACCCTCCTTGGCACCCTGGGACAGGCAAGCAGAAATCCAGAAACAGGGGCAGACTGGCTCTGCGGCCCTCCTCTTATTCAACCTGTATGGACTGAGTTTTCAGCTTGTCCTTCACCTGTTCTCTTTTGTTCCCATTGTAGGCACGTTTGTTGGCAGGCTCTAGCAGTCAAGTGAAATGTTTTGTGTCATTGGAGTTGGAGGGCAGTGTTATTGGCAGATTTTTTTTCATGATTTATTTTTTCTTTGGGGTTACATTGATTTTGAGACAGGAACAATGGAACATTAAATGCACCAAAAATTGGCATTCTGGCAGTTTCTCAAAATTGACAGCCTTTCTGTCTGCTGGGGTTATTTTTGTGCTTAAGTCTTAGTAATAGTCTCATTACTGCTGTGGTTGAAGAGCACTGTAGGAGAGGCCACTTCTTGTGGGCTGTAGGCAAAGAATCAGAATGTTTTGTTCATTTCAAGTTGGATGTTATGATTCCATACCAGCTCTCTCTTATTTAGGCAATAAATCAAGTTTGCACATCCTAATTGTTAGTTACAGTACATATTTCCCCTTTGGAGTCCTATGGAAAATTAAACATGTAATTTGCCCTTTTCTGCTCCAGTTTTGTATTCACTTTGTGGTTTCCTTCCCTACCTTTATAGTGGGAATAGTGTTTGAAGTCCCCACATTATCTGATCGATCTTCATTAATATCAGCGATACCCTGACTGGCTAGCCTGTTAAACCGGTGCTCTTTGTTCTGCCTCAGGTGCCACATTCGAGTGATAGACACTTTTGGCACGGAGCCGGCCTATAACCATGAGGAATACGCCACCCTCCATGGGTACAGGACCAACTGGGGCTACTGGAACCTCAACTCCAAGCAGTACATGACCATGTTCCGTGAGTACGCTTTGGACCAGCTCTCCTTGCTGACATAAGCCCCCCCCCCACATGACACCCCAACAAGAATTAATTTTCCGCCAGCTAACATGTCTTATGCAGGAAGCAAGTGGAAAGTGAGTTGTCTCCAGGCCTGTCGTGGAGCACATCTCTGCTGCAGCCCTGCTCTCTCCCTCGTTTTCTCCCTGTGGGACTTACAGCAGCATCAGAGAGATAATTCAGGATAATTGATACTGGTCTTGTTATGGCATTTAACAGGTCTAGTCTTCAGTTTTCCTCTTTTATGTTGGAGTTAAAGCCCACCAGCATCTCTCATCAAAATGAGCATTTGCTTCTATTTGCTGCTGCTGTTCATCTGCGGCACCAGGTTCTCTCCCGACCTGAGCGAGCTGACAGCTTTGTCATTATTTCTGACTCCGTTCCGACAGCCCACACCCCAGACAACTCCTTCATGGGATTCGTATCAGAGGAGCTGAACGAGACGGAGAAAGCCGACATTCAGAGGAACAAGGTCAACAACATGGCAGTCGTGTATGGCAAAGAGCCCAGCATGTGGAAGGTAAGCAGGGACCAGGGAGAGCTCTTCAACTCCTGCGCTAATGGGAATCCGCTGTGGCATCACATGCTCTCCGTTCCGCTGAGCTGGCTCAGACATGTCAGACAGGACGGGCAGAGCGTTAAGCAGCTCTCCAGTTCATTGTGGTTCAAGCAGGCAGCTGCGTCAGCAGGCGTAGGCTGCAAAGGAACAAGTAATAGGTTTATTCCATGCTGAAGGGAGAAGAAAGAAAACACAATGTTTTAGCCGTGGAGCCTTCTTCGGGTGTGAGACAGTTCATTGTTCTAACTGCCAGAGTGTCGTCAGCATTTATATCTGACGTTACGGTCATGAAGTGCACAGATTTTCTGTCCTCCCTGGAGTTAAATCTGTACTCCCTTGTCTTTTTTAACTCATTGCATTCTGATTTCCAATTTCCTGGCTCTCAGAGCAGTTTAGGGCGCCCAGAAAAGAGAAATGTGCTCTTTTAATGCTGTCTGAGCATGTCTGTTCTTTAACTGCCGTAAATATCCTACTGCCAGGTATGCTTCACCATTTCAATAGTTCACCGATGTCTGCTGTGTTGTGTTGTGCTTTTCAAACTTAAGGGGTCAAAGAAACAGTCATATCATAATTTTCACGTATTCTTTTTCTTCTTGCTTTGCCGTTCCTCTGTTTCTGATGGATCGCCTTCAGCTTCAGGTAAGCAGACTCTGAAGCTTTTCAGCATAAATTTCTTAGTCTCCGTTGAATCCCCACCTGCACTTGGAATGTCTTGCTTGAGGTATAGGCTGACATTGGGGTTTGCTCATAGCAATTAGTTTGTGTTGTTGCTGCTGGTGATGTTATTTTCAACATAATTCTGTAAAGGTTCAATTGATCAATTTCCTGAAGTATGCAATGCTATAAAGCTCGTGTTATCAAGCTAATGGACTCTCAAACTTGCTATACAGTTTAATTCAGTGCACAACACATTTTGAAGTATAAATGGGTATTCGGTTCCAACATTTAAAAAACAAGGCAAAAACAGGAATGTTTAACTTTATCACAAATTCTGAAAAGCTGATTGAAATTCACAATTTGCATTTCAGGTTAATGGACACGCTTCCATTTGATGTTATTTGATGCAAAGGAAAAGCTTTGGATAGCTTTTTTGAGACACTTAGAGAGTTTTCTGATTGTCAACCTCAGACCTGTAATTGAAGTATTTCTCATCTCCCAAAGCTGATTTTTGCATTCATAATGAAGCTACAAGTGCATCTTTAAAAATCTGCCTCAGCAGTTTAACACCTATCATGAGACAAAAGGCAATTTGGCACCTGTGACAGGCAGAAGGCAGAGCACTGGTGAATTCAATTATAATTGATGCAACAGATTTCATTCGCACTGTGGGGCACCTGCTCTTGTTCCCCCCAGTTCTGGCATTTACTGCTGTTTTCGCTTCATTTCCTGAGCAGTCTCACATATACGCTGGTGACTGACAGAAAAGACTGTGCCAGCATTTTAACACATCACTTGACTGACTGTAAGAAGCCTGAGCAGACGTTCTTCAAGTGCTCACATGGCCCTTGAAATTAAGAGCAGAGAGGGCAGCACATGTCAAACGTCCCCCGATGCCAACAGAGTCAGAGGGAATCACTCCGAGCTCTTAGGTGCGTTAGGCACAGGTGTCCCATAGAATTGTTTAGGAAAGTGATGTGTTTATAGTTTTACTAAGGAGCGTAGCTTAAAAAGCTACTGTGTAATGTATCAGTGGGTAAAGGAGGAAATTAAAAACATAACCCTAAGGTCCTAATTGCCTGCTCTTTTCAGACTCAAAAAACACATGCTTGCACTCAGCATCGAAGTCTGAGCCTTTAATAACTTAGACCTGATTTCCACTCGTGTGTTTATAGACTGCTGAAAGAGGCTGATGCACGTTTAATTTATTGGTGGAAATGAGAAGGGAGGTCTGCATATTAGACTTTCAATATAAACCTCTGATCTGGAGCCAAGCTATTCTACTCCTGGAGGTGAAGTTTACACTTGCCCGGGCTCTGTCAGTAAACCTTTCTTTTCCTTTAATTCCCTCTGTCTTGCGCACTTAGTGGAGAAGATAATCTCCTAATTGGCTCTGCAAATCCTCACAGCAGAATCTATCGATCCTGCAGCCTCCAATTACATCCACAGGCCACACAATGGAGCGAGAATAAGCTCCTTAACAGCTAAGAGGAAGTCAATAGTCAGAGTGAAGCCATCCCCAGCCACAACACAGTGAAAATCCCAACTAGAGACTGTATAACCTGTATAATCATAAAGGTCTTTCTAGAACAGACCCTTCTTTTTCCCTTTTATCCAGTTTAAGAATTCCTGGCCACATGACCAACCCCGCGCTCACTCATACCTTACCATGTACATGGAAAGAGACTCAGGGTCCCTCTGTTCTGAATCTAAACACAAAACAATTCTATTCAGTAAATGGCATTCTGGGCAGCATGGGAGTACAGGGGTTATTACCTCATAGAGCTGGGGGGGGTCAGTCCCTTTTCAGGCCATCGAGGCCCATGGGGAATGGGTGCAAGGGCCACCATTTTTCCTGCCCCTCCAGCACTGGAGGTGCTCTGGCCAGCCTGTTACCCCCAGAGGGATTAACCCCCGGTACTCACTTGGAAAGCAGGCTGAGTGGACCTGGGAGCTGTCTGGAAGGAATTAGAGCAAGCCCCCTATGTGGGATTGAACCCAGGCCCCTGCAGTCAGGGGCTAGACGCCCTTGCCATCTGAGCTACCACGGCTGCCCTAGAGCTGGGGCCCTGGGTTCAATGACGGACATGGGCTGCTATCTGCGTGGAGTTTGTATGTTCCCCCCGTGTTTGCGTGGGTTTGCTCCCACAGTCCAAAGACGTAATGGTACGGTAGGTTAATTGGCTGCTGGGAAGATTGGCCCTGTTGTGAGTGTGTATTGCCCCGTGTGTGTGCCCTGTGTCAGTCCAGGGTGCGCCCCAGCGGCTGATTCTGACCAAGAGGAATGGCTTCAACAACCAAGCTAGCCAAAGAGATCAGTTCTGACACTTTACCGTCTCCAGAAACGCAGATTAGATGGAGTCTGAGCTGCTGTAAAGTCTGTATTCTTCTGCCCCAGGGGAAGGAAAAGTTCCTGCAGATCCTGCACCGCCACATGGAGATCCACGGCACTGTGTACTACGAGGCACAGCGGCCCCCGGAGGTGCCCGCCTTCGTCAAGAACCACGGGCTGCTGCCACAGCAGGAGCTCCAGCAGCTCTTGCGCAAAGCTAAGGTAGCACAGCGGGAGGCAGGGCCTTGTTTGTTTATCTGTGTGTTTAAATATCAATTGCGGAGGGCAGGGGATGTTCTCCTAGCCTTGCCTTTCAAGGCAAGCCCAGTCCGCTGATTGAAAAGCAGCCATATGACAGCCATTTCTTTTCCCCTGCCTCTAGCTCTTCATTGGATTTGGGTTCCCTTACGAAGGTCCCGCCCCTTTAGAGGCCATAGCCAATGGGTGCATCTTCCTGCAGCCCAGGTTCCGCCCACCCCATAGCTCCCTCAACCATGAGTTCTTCAGAGGCAAGCCCACGTCCAGAGAGGTACATGTGCACTCTTTTATCTTGTGTCTCACTGCACAAAAGCAGGAGCGTTACGTGGTGTATATGTATATCACGGCACTGGAGTGTTAAGTCAATCTTGGGGGGAAAAAAAATACTTACAGTTAGAAAAAACGTTCTGTGCCATTCTGCAGATTGCTGGAGTGTAGTCAGTCAGGCAGCACGGTAAAGAAGGGTAAGGAAGAGGCTAGTTCATCTTTTTCTCAGCAACAGGTACAAAAATCACTGTGAAATCCAAATGTTTCGTTTTTGTCGCCATGGGTGGTTAATTTTAGTTCTACGTGGGATTTGGAATCGTGCGCTGCGTATATTTTCCACCATGCACAGGCTGAATGAGTGCTCTCAGGCGCTCAACAATACACTGAAGCCATCTGCCTCAGTGAGTGGTAGCAGAGGTGTGAAATGCTTTCCTAGCATTTTGATTCAGCTGTTGCACTGAATCAAGTCCCTTGCACAGAACTTTCCAGTCCCAGGCTTGGTGACCCCATTGTCTGCTGGCGTTTGAGCCAACCGAGTTATTTTTGAATATTTCACAAACCCCAGATTTAACTAATAATTTGTCATTTTTTATGGCTTTCAACTCTGAAACTATGAGGCAATTTATATTTAGTTACTGTATAATGATTGGAAATGTGATTTATTTAGGAACAGAGAACTACAAGGCTCTAATCAACCAAATTATTGTTTCAATTAAGGGCTCAATAAAGCAAACAAGAGTCCAGCTCGGATTAAAAAAAACAGCAGAGGCCGGGGTACTGAGTGCTGGACTGGATGGGCATGTGCCAACCGTGTTTGTAGTTAACTTTGAAACCTGAATCCAGGGCTGTTAGAGGACTTTGAACCTTCCAGTAGGTTAAATGGTGGGCTGGAGTGGTGGCACTTTGGCTAAGGCTCTGTGCCTGTGGCTGGAAGGTTGCTGGTTCAATTCCTGCAGCTGGCAGAGGAATCCTATGCCCCTTAACCCCAAGTGCTCCAGGGCCGCTGTATAAAAGGCTGACCCTGTGCTCTGACCCCAAGCTTCTCTCCTTGTCTGTGTGTCTCATGGGGAGTAAGCTGGGGTATGCAAAAACACAAATTCCTAATGCAAGAAATTGTATATTGCCAATAAAGTGATCTTATCTTAATGAACAGATCCTTAATTGTTTAATTAACCCAGGTGCTGCTATGCACCTTGATAATTAAGGGTTGGCTGGCAAAAAGACTTCCACTGGAATGGAATCCAGATGCCAGTGTTGACCACTGCTGCCCTAGTATCTTTACAGCAGCCTTGAGGGTACAGTGGCAGAAAGGGCGCCTGAGTCCTGTCTAAAAGAGAACACAGTGAGATCACATTGGTAACCCCTCCATTTTATCTCAACTCAGGTCTCCTCCCAGCATCCCTATGCGGAACAGTACATCGGGAAGCCCCACGTCATCACAGTGGATTTCAACAACTCCCAGGAGTTTGACTCGGCCATCCGAGAGATCATGAGGACGAAGGTGACAGCCGGCCGCCAGTCCTACTGTACTGTATGTCTAGCTGTGCACACTGCCTCTGCTCTAACACTGCGAATGCTGAATAGGGAGCTTTTCGTTCAGGCTTTTCAGTGCGATCAGTTTAAACGCTGTGAGTCTGCCAATGAACAGTGACTCAAGAGCCAAGGAAGGGTTAAGAGAACGTGCTTCCTGTCCAGCACGACCATCCACTGGATCTTGCTGTCGGAGTCACAGACATATGTCAAAGCAGTGAAATTTGCCTTGACTGTTCCCTGTCTTTTTCATTTTACAGCAGCAACTTAGTAATTAGGCAGCAGTCCAATTAGGGGAAAGTAACCGCACTCATTCAGATGTGCACTAATTGCTGGATGTGAACTCCATTACTGCAGTTAAGGGAAGAAGGAATGTTTTAATTAACCTGGCTTCAATCTGTTCATTCTGGAATGAACATTAATGATCGATTGATCTGGGGCAGCTCTGCCACCTGCCAGGTGTTGCTAATGGACATCGATCTGGGGCCTTTGATTTCTGCTGGCGGTCAGAGAGAGCTCCCCGCGTGGCTTCAGAAACAGAACTGGAGTGGCCAGAGGGGCGCGGACGCTGTCCAGAATTTCCTGAAACAGGGAATGGCCGGAGCCCTTTCGACAGCCCTCCAACTAGTGTGTTCTTTTTTTTTTCTTTTGTGGAATTGGGGGAATAATTAATTACATGTATCTAGTGTATCTCGCTCCAAATCCAAATCTGCTCTCTGTGCTGCTGCCCATTTGATTCAGTGCTCCACGTTCACAGTGCCAGACCGCGCTCAGTTCTCTCAAGAAATGGCTGGATGAGACCCTTGGATCATTTGGCTGCCAGCAGTAGTACAGACTCGCTGCAGCCAGATCAGCAGCTGAGTTGCCACAGTTGTCCCAGCTGGTTTTCTGATGGCTGTTTTGAGATGTTCTGATGCCGCAAATTGGTTGTTGTGAAATTAGAAAGACAAGTGTGGTTTCTGTTCTGAGCGAGAGTTTTGGCACAGCCAGATAGGATTATTCCACTGAACCTTGAGAGGGAAGGGAAGTCCGCTTTGAATTCACACTCACGCCCCCAGATGGAAGTCAATGTCAAAGACCTCCTGGAATGGATGTACCCTTTAATACCTTGAATTATTTGAGAAAAGTATCCACAGTACAGGCCTGGCTAGGGTCTTGAAATAAAGAAAATGCCTTGGACATCCTGTCTGAACCTTCAGATTTTTTTAAATGTCCTACTTAGTACACAGACTCGAAAGAAATATCCAGAACAAAAACAAGATAAAAAAACACAATTGCAATTAATTGTCTTTCTTCAAAAGTGATTTTTTTCAAGCTGTGGCACACCTAGAATGTACATTTTTAGAATGTACTCTTTTCAAGGTAAGGGAAAGAGTTATGTATTTTAGTGAATTTTGGATTTTGTGCTTGCATTTTGTTGGAGTACCAATAAAAAACATTTCGATATACTTAAGAGCTTCAATCCTTTGAGGGACTGCATTAATGTCCTGCTGTATGAAATTACACTATATACTGTAAGTTGCATATAATAATAATAATACATATTTTGATTGTATGCCCAAATTATTTTTTGAAGTGGTCTACTTTAAAAATACTTTATTTGGTCTTTATGACGCAGACAGGCACTAAGAAATGTAAACATTTAAATTCCGTTAGATATGCAGGTCTGCATATGCATATATTAAAAAAAAATATCATCATAGGAAACAGGAAATAAAAAGTTTACATTTGCACATATAGTTTTCTTCTAAAATCCCTCTAAAAGCTGTAGGAACCTGTAGGATCAGTGCTGTTTGTAATACATTTTGCATAGCATTGATCCTGGACTGATTTAGAGAGAAGAACAAATGTGAAAATAAACCTTAAAATTGAGAAAATGGGATTCTTTCTGTAAATGGGAAGGAGACCACATATTGTCATGCTGAGAATGCAGATGTTTCTGGAAATCATTTTCAGCACTTTCAGACCCACAGTATACAATGCACTTAGTTGCAGATTTAATTGTCTGCAAAGCAGCAAAAGATTAAACCAACCATATTTTTCAATTAACAAATTTGCCGTGTTGTGATTAAGGCGGCGGAACTGCAATCAGTGCATAACAATAAAGAGGAACAGAACATCCAGAACTAAGTATGAATGAAATAGCTGTTGTTTATACATGCTTTCAGTAAAGAATGATGTCACCCCTAACTCTCTCCAGAACCCACTTGAGAGCCGAGTCATTCTTTATTGATAAGGGTTATGCTGAACCATTTTGTTTCATCAATATTATTGGAAACTGGGTTAGTTAGATGGACAAGTCCTGGGGTACCACACACCTGCAGCTGAGCTCTTGGCTGGACCAACAAATCTCTTGTTTGGAACCTTTTCCAAATTTCTGATATTTCACTGAAAGCTTGGAGATCTCAAATTACTTAAAAAACATATCATAGTTAAAATGCAGCTCCTACATGTCCATTTAAAGAGTTCGAACTCAACCTAAGGGTTCAATTATTTAATGAAGTGCTCAGCTGGGATAAAAACCAGCAGATGTGGGGGTCCCCAGGAGCCCACAGGACCTGGGAACCCCTGACCCATGCAGCCATTTTTAATTTTTTTCATTTGCTTGGTTTGTGCTTTGTGACTCGGTGTGAAATTGAATGGTTTGGTTGTGAGTTAAGGCCTGAAATGTAGCTGGGAAAAGCCAGACAGGAGAACCATGAGCTGCTTGTAAAGTCCCATTTTTAAAAGCAAATTTATACAGTTTGCAGTTTCGGTTCAGCTGCAAAAAAATGCAAAGCAGCCTGCTGGTCCTCTTCTGCGCTTCCTGGCTCGGCGGTCCTCCTCACTCAGCGCTGTGCGGTTCTTCCCCCAGGTGAAGCCCTACCTGCCCTACGAGTACACCTGTGAAGGCATGCTGGAGCGCGTGCACGCCTACATCCAGCACCAGGTGGGGAAGCCAGTGTCGGAGGAGAGCTGTGTGGACGTTCACTCCATTGCTTTCACTGTTCCAGGCTCTACACAGATGAGCTCCCACATGCTGTGAAAGTGCAGCGCAAAACATCTTTGGCACTTTTACATTGAAAGGAATATGCCATTTGGATTACAAAAACATTCTTCACATCATGGGGGGATCCCCCTATTTTCTGTTAGTGATGAGTTATCCGTTAGCGATCTTTGCAGGGACATATTTGCTCATACTCGGAATGCATGCTCACACACATGTGTAGGCTTATAAGATAAGATCACTTTATTAGCCCTATACAATTTCTTGCATTAGGAATTAGTCTTTTTTTCAGATACCCCAGCTTGCTCTCCATGAGACACACAGGCATACAGACGGGGAGAGAGAAGCTTGGGGTCAGAGCACAGGGTCAGCCATTAAAACAGCGGCCCTGGAGCAGCTGGGGTTAAGGGCCTTGTTCAGGGGCCCAGTGGAGTGAGATTCCTCTGCCAGCCATGGGATTTGAACCGGCAACCCTCCAGCCACAGGTGCAGATCCTGAGCCACCGCTCTGCCCCTAAAAGCCCCTTATGCCTCCTAAAAGCCCCTTATGGGCTGCGGCTTTGCTTCCTGATTGCTGCTATAGAGCAGCTCTGGTTCCCATTCAGAGCCCTGGTATTTCACTGGAGGCTGTTGTCAAACCAGGTCATTTTCCAGGGGTCTGCTACGAGAGTGTGTGTAGTTGGATCCTGATGGGTCCTGCATACCTCTGCGCAGGTGCGCACCTTATGTTCACCTTCATGTCTACTTTGTGAATACTTGGGTTCCAGCAATTAGATGGCTAGACTCAGACCATGTAGTAGGTGGTTCCAAAATATGGGAGAAGGTAGGATTAAGGAAGAAAAAATATATTGGCGGACATTTATATGAAAAAAAAAACGCTCACAGCCCGAAATCCCCCCAGGACTCACTGATGCTTTTAATATCCTGTTGTGATTGGCGGTCCTTCTGGTAGAGAAACTCGTATTGCACAGAGAGCCAAAAGCGGTCTGCGTGACAGACGTGCATAGCCTCCTAATGTCAAAGCCCTGGCCTGGGAGCAGTTGCTTAAGATTGCTCCGATCTCCATTTCTCTCGCGCTGCTTAAAAGATTACCAGAGTTCAGTTTATAAATGGAGTCTTATCTCACCTCCCCGCCTCGCCCGTGAATGGCCTGGTAGATGTGATTTGAAGCAACGTAACCGAAGGGGGCCGAAAAAAAACGATTTCCGCTTAAGACTGTTTAATAAACAGGGCTGCAGGCCGCAGCGGAGATGTCAGAATATGTTATTATGCTACAGTATTAAAGGCCCCTTTGGGGCTCAGTTTAATCACCAATCTTCCCGTGTGTTTTTTATGTGTACTTAACCCTCTACGGCACTTTGTATAAACACCCCAAAAAATCCTGGTTTGATAGTGCACCGAGATTGAGAAAACAACATCATACAGGAAAAATATTTTTTGTTTGTTGTGTTATACAAACGTCTTAGAATCTGTGTTTAAAAACACATGAGGGTATATAGGGTATTAGGTAAGTACAGTTTTACCCTCTTGTATTTTCATGAGCTATTATGTTAGAATTATTATTGTGGTATTATATACAGTACCTGAAAATGTCATGTTTCTGTGTACTTGTTTCACCTAGGATTTCTGTGCTCCCACGGTTCCATTTACTCCAACAAATTTCTCTAAGTCCTTGCCGGGGGTCAGACGCAGTCCCTTCCTCCTCCTGCCCGACGCGGCAGGGCTGGCCTGGGACCCCAACGTTACAGCGCCGCCCTCCTGGCCGCCCCTGAGCGCCCTGCGGTTGCTCGTGTCGGAGGAGGGGCAGTCCTGCACGGACAAGTGTCAGCGCCGGGGCCTGATCTGCGAGCCAGCCTTCTTCAGGTTCATCAACAACAAGGAAGCGCTGAGCCGGTGAGAGATTGCCCCTCCCGCCGCAGGCTGTCAGCTGTCACCCCGGCGCCTGGGCTCTCCATGACTTCATTGGCCTAATTATTTGATCGGACAGGTTTAATCTCTCTTTCCACGCCTGAAAAAGCAGTACAGTCGCTCAGCTTTTGAGCGAAGCGAGGGTCAAAACCAAGTGAGGTTTAAAAGACCTTGAAAAAATTAAACGCTCAAAGTCAAGCCGCATATCAAATATCGGTTCCATTAAGTGAGAGTGCTTACCTAAGGTTGGAATGACTAGAAGTGGGTACTGTGGTCTCAGGGAACCTGCACAGCAAAGGAGTTAAGATCTTACTCTCAAGTTGTATTGTATGTACAGTCAACAGAGAAGATTGGAAGGCGACTCATGACGTGTTTTATGGGGCCCATTACTGAGAAGAGAATAAGAATATGCATGAACGTGCACTAGAACGTACCCACTTCTAGTTATATGGGCGGAGCGGTGGCTCTGTGGCTCAGGATCTGTGCCTGTGGCTGGAAGGTTGCTGGTTCAAATCCCGTGGCCGGCAGAGGAATCCTACTCCGTTGGGCCCCTGAGCAAGGCCCTTAACCCCAACTGCTCCAGGGGCGCCGTACAATGGCTGACCCTGCGCTCTGACCCCCAGCTTCTCTCCCTGTCTGTGTCTCAAGGAAGAAAAGCTGGGGTATGCAAAAAGATGAATTCCTAATGCAAGAAATTGTATAGGGCTAATAAAGGAACATTATTACATTATTATTAGAATAGCCTTTCCTGTGTTGTGCACTGCGACAGCTCTGAGAGATAACGGCCGCTCTCCCCTCTTTCTTTCCCTCCCAGGCTGGAGGTGCAGTGCGAGGGAGTCGAGTCGGAGATGAACCACATCTTCCCGGCATTCTCCGTGAGCCGCCGGGAATGCGGCCTGCAGAAGGAGCCGCTGCTGTTCAGCTGCGCGGGGCTCAACAGCAAATACCGCCGCCTCTGCCCCTGCAGGGACTCCCGCAAGGGACAGGTGGCGCTCTGCAGGGACTGCTTATGATGCCCTCCTTCACCCCCCCGCCCCTCCCCCAGCACAGCTGAGACGTCCCGTCCCCGCCTGGAGGGACACAGGGTGGGTGGCCCTGCGCTATTCGGTGGAGCTGGCGCAGTTTCGTTTTTATTTCTAAAAGGGCGCAGCAGTGCGACTGGGTACCCGGCACCATTTCAGTTCAGACTAAGGGAGATTCTGATAGTCCTGCACCACGCTGACCCTTCTGTAAACACTGTTTGGATCTCTCTGACAAAAAAATGGGATATCTCTCTGGACGGAGTTTGGTGGAGCTGCCAGACTCATCCAGGACCTTAAAGCTGCGTCACCTGCAGACACTTCGGAGGAAACTGTACCTTTTCACCTTGGATTAAAAGGCAGCTTTTCCCAAAACGTTGGACCCGGGGTTTCAAATCCCTCTAATTGTTTGGAGAAAGGAAAGCCCAGCCTGTTCTTCACTCAGGAAAGAGCATTTTCAGAGGCAGAGCTGTCTGGAAAGGAGCCCTTCCTGGAGACTGGGAGACGCACTAAGATGTCGTGTCGAAGCTTCGGATTCAGATGGACTGGGATCAAACAATCTGATGATGATTTCAGACTCGGTGGCCTTTTTTTTCCATCTGTACTTTTTTTTCTGAGCATTTCAGTTAGGAAAGTTGCATTCATTTTTAACCTCAAGTGATCATTTTCTCCCACGACCTGTGCTTATTTTCAGATTAGGCTTTTTCTGTCAGCTGTCTACAGAATCCCACTTGACATGACTGTCCAGAGGCTTGGCTGGAGGAACAGTCTGGTTACAGAGTCACGACAAGAGTCTTCACGATGAATCGCCACTGCTTCAGTCAAAAATATCTCTGCCCCAGAAGCAAAATGGGCTGTGGTTTGTGGTCAAGAATTTAGGACTGTTCAGGAATCCTGCCTGGATCATCGAACCCAAAGCATACAAAGTTAACTGACAGTTGGTCCACCCCATTCTCTCCTCCTGTGGGCTCTGTGAAAGACTGTTTACCTGGGGACAACTGGTATTCGTAATGTGAAGGGAGTGAGATATCCCAGTACCAGACTTGAGAGAGAACAAAGGTTATTTTTGAAAAAGGAGACATTGCAAATGGCTCAGAGTGGAACTGAAGATTTTTAAAGGGCCTGGGTTTGTAAAGAAAAAAAAATGAAAATCTAAAGAGAGTCTTTTATTTACTTTTTTTGTGCTTCCAGTCAGTGCAATAAAGTATAAAGTTTTTTTTTGTATGTGTTTAATGTATTCTTTTTTTCCTCACAAAAGCAGAACGGATTGTGTGCTTGTCGTTAAAATCGCTAAAGTCACTCTGTCCTTCCCTGGCCTTCTCTGTCCCTGATCCTTGATTTGAGACCTGTGCTCATCCCCAGAATTAATGAAATGGAAGATTAGCAGCGACTATCATTTGTTTGGAAAACGAACACCTGGACAGCAAAGGGCAGAAAGACCGAGGATGCACCTTAGATACTGAGCAGTTATGGGGAAGGAGTGTTATTAACTATCTGAAAAAAATAAGTAGCTGAAGTTAATTAATAAGATTATGATAACACTTTGTTTGTGAAAATGGCACATTTACATAAGTTGCTCTTTTATATGTGCCACAATCCTAAAGTAGTTTTCACACATTTTGCTTTATTAATTAAAGTGCTTGACAAGGGCAAAAACAATTGTGATAAAAAAACCCCAGAGCTGGCACAGATGTCCCAGAGTTCTAAGTCCTGCTGCCTTATCTAGCACGAGCAGATGTAACGCTTATTCACAGTCTGTCGGCTGGCGGCGTGCAAAACCCATGTTCGAAGAGGGAGGCGTGGTTATGCTAAAGGTTGCATGATGAAAATAAGGGCCAGTTTTAATTAAAGTAGATTGATTGTAGATTTACCGCAGGATAAGCATGTGAAACCAGCTTCAGGGCAGCAGAGTTACAGATTTGTGAAAAAGAAGCATTGCTCGTCTTGTACGGCCTGTATCCGCTCTAGCAAAGATGGCCCAGCAAGTCAGGGGCTAAAGGTGAAGAGAACAGACAGCTGCCTGAAATACTGCAACTCTAGGGAACGTCTCTGGCTCGCGTGGCTTTGATCACTGACGTCCCTGATGCAACCTGATTCTGTCAGCGGGCCTCAGTGGTCTTTCTGTCAGCGATTCCAGTCATTGGGAGAAAAGGCAATCTTCCTAGCCCGAAGGGTGGTCTCCAAAGGATGCGTCTTCTGGAGCTGATAGTCCGTAGCTGTTCTCTGCGATTGCAAACCACAGCTTTGTTTGTGGGTTTTTTTTATGTGTCCAAAAATGTCCCTAACCTTAATTCTTCCAAGCCTGTTTCGCTTAGCTCAATCAATGTGCGCTGCCACGTTATTTATGTCCTTCTTTTCTCTTTTTTTCTGTTTCCGTGAGAATGCAGTCTGGGCGCTGTGTTTCTGTATCTGTTTCCTGAGGGGCTAGGCCTTTCAGTTCTAACACCCCAGGCCTTTTCATTGCAGCTCATGGCAAGAACCAAACCGCTGCACAAGTGAATCAGACTCAATCAGACTTTCGAGGCTCAGCTTGAAATACAGTCATTTGTGTTAGGCCTTTTCTCACATCATCGCATTATTTTCAATAATTGCTTTATCCAATTCAGGGTCACCATGACCTTAAGCCTATCTGACAGGATACACCCTGAATGGGATACTAGTTTAGCTTAGGGCACGCACGCACGCACACACACAGACACACACACACAGACACACACACACACACACACGTCTTTGGAGTTCGAGATTAGTTTAGATGAAGCCATTACTCTGTTTCTGTCCTGCTGATGAAACCTTATCTCAGTGGCACTTGAAATATTTTCCGTTACCTTGTCTGTTTTGGATTTCATGTTTCCAGAACTTCTTGTAATGATGGTCTGCTACAGTCTGTGTTCTGTGCTGGAGATGGACTGTCACAGTCCGTGTTCTGTGCTGGAGATGGACTGTCACAGTCTGTGTTCTGTGCTGGAGCTCTGAGAGGTGGCCATAGAGCAGAGTAAAATGGAAGCAAATGGACTCTGTGTCGATCTCTCTGTGACTAGGTAGCACTGGCTCAGCCCAGGAAGAAAACCCATGTTGTTGTCAGATTCTGTGAATGAAAGGAGACCTCCACCTGCCCCTAATATATTCATGGGCTCCAGCATCCTGCTTACCAAGTCTGCTGCTGAAGCCCCTGTTTTGTGAGTCTGTGTACAGTAGGCTTTTCGTTGCTCTTGATGTTGTTTTAATTAATAATGTTCCTCAGGTCCCCTGACTGCTCCTGTCTGTGAGTCTACACTCCCAGCGGGGGGATGTTTGAAATACGATTCATGCTATTGACTTTTTTTCATCCATCAGTCGCGGGGTCTCCTAAGTAGAGTCTCAGAAGAAAGCTAATCCCATCTCAATCGCTCAGCAAAATGGTTTTAAGACATTTTCTTACCAGCCTTTCCCAAGAATCTTTCTTATATTAATGAGGAACAATTTATTTATTTTGCCTTTTTTTCAGAAGGGAGTTTCTTTTCCCTTCTGTCTTCAGGCCCATTTTCACTATTAAAAACATCTAAATGATGACCCCCTCCCCCGACCCGCACCAACTCGGCTTGCTTTGCAGCTGAATGAAGAAAACTCTACTGACCTGTGACTTTTTTACATTTACATTTTTACATTTCTTCTTCTTCTGTTGCTGTCTGCCAAATCACTCCGCCTCCAGCAAAGAAAAATGCGAACAATTAAATGCTCTGTTTTCTTCTTTAATCTGAGCATGTTCCAATAGGCATTCTCCCCGATAGTAAGAGAATAGTGTAGCTATTGTCATCAGGGGCCTCCGGTTCAAATGTTACACATTGGCAGGTGACCTGCTTGCCTGTCCATACGATCAGGGTCTAAAATCCCCATGTCCATTTCTAATTATGTGCTCGTTCATCTGCTGGCAGCACTTACAGTATGATGTCATCGGTCTGAAGAAGTGCATTTTCATTGCCTCACGGGAGGCCTGCGTGGTGCCATCTGGTTTTGGGTAAATCCTCACACCAGCCCTTTCTCCGGCTGTCTGGAGTCACCGTGATGAATGTCTTGGAGGCAGGTAGTGGCGAGAGATGGGAACAAAGAAAAGAGGCTAATTACTCATCCCTTATTGACTTATCGCCCTTGGCAGGATGATCATTCTCCAGATTTCTGCATGACCGTCTGTCACATAATCTGCGTCCCAGGAGACCGTATCTGGGTGCGAAGGCTTGCCACAATGATCATTTCAATAGTAGGACACTTCTTTTGGTTTCTTGAGAAACTGATTTATTTTCTTTACTGTGCCTTCTTTATTAATACACAAAGAGTTAACATTACAGTTCTGCGAGACCGGTGCTGCAGAGATTGATCCCTAAAGATAATTTTGCAAACCCTGGAAATATCTTAATTTTTTTTTTAATGACTTTACGAAAAAATAAATAAAGACACAGTTAGTGTCTTCCCCTTTGTGCGATTGAGAGCCAGAGATTATGGAAGTGATGTCACCTAAATGCAGGGGACACTGCACTATAATCTCAATGGACAGACAAGTCAAGAAAGTAGAAGCCTTTCTTTCTTCAGGTGGATAATGAAAATAATTTAAAGCGATGGAAACCGAGGCACAGGGGAAACTTGAAAGCTTTCACTGTGCTGAAGACTGCATGGGCTGTGACATCCTATTTGTGAAATCCCCATGTCAGCTCTTTTCACAGAGCTGCGCCCTGTCCGTTCATGGGGAAGAGTGCTGTTTGATGGTGTGTAGTTACAGTGGAGCCACCAAACCTCTCATCCTATTATCTCTGGGTCTCGCCTTCTCCATTCATCAGATCATATCAAATCACATTTCACCAGGTAGGACCTGCCATGAGTGTATTCTCATTCTGAGCAGTTGTGCTGGGATTAAAGGTGTACAGTATGTGAGTGGAAGGGATGGCTTTATTTCGATATACAGCTGGTGTATACAGTAGCTCTCTTTACTCTCTTTGTGGGGTACTGTATATCCAGGCCAGTTTAGACACTACAGTACATAGTGCAAGAAGAAACTGATTCTGTCAGTATTTCAGAATTGAATTCAGTGCTTTCTGTCATTCAGTCCAGCATGTGAGCACTGCCAGCACCACTGGCCTGTTGTTTTACACACCTCCTGGAGCAACTGCACAACATAAATCTGTAGGGCTTTGATGAGCAGCAGGAGTAGGAAGGCTGAAGTCTGGCCTCGCGAAAAATGTGTGCTTTAGTTGGCTGGGACAACAGAGCTGCACCAGTGCAGTTGTAAAAACAGGCTGAAGTGTCATTGATCGATTGGTTGGTTGGTTGATTGACTGACTGAATAAGAACAGGCTGAAATGTTTTTGATTTATGATTGATTGGTTGATTGACTAACTGACTGACCAATTTTCTGTAGCCACCTATCAAAATCAAGTGTCAAGTCTTGGGAGGTCCAGCAGGGTTTCCAGGCTGCTCTCCCTGGGCCCTGGGTGGCTCTCTCCTTCATCAGTTCCGGCTCTTGTGCTGACTTGCACAGCAGGTGACAGAGACCCACAGCTCTGCTGGAAGATCAGATTCAGAATCAATCAAAATGGCAACAATACAGTCTTGAACAATGAAGTTCCAGCTTCAAAGTTATATCTTTCCAGGGGAAGGATTCCAGCAGATTATTTTTTTCCAATGGTGGTTTTAATGAGCATTTTCTTTCGACGGGGACTGATATCTGTGATAGTTTTTGAAAGGGAGTGAAGTTCATCGCTTGCAGGTTTTGAGCACAACTGCGTGGTATTGCATACAATATATATACTGTATACAGTAGCATTGCTCCTGGAGAATAAAAAAATAACTTTGATTTGATCAGAAGCCTGTACACTCATGTCCAGGAAAGTGCTTTAATCTAGCTCGGCACGGAAGAGAACGTTCCTCGTAAATTTCATTGGATGAAAAGAAAGATGGTTAATTGATGGGTAATTGCTCCCATGGATGGGTATTTGCTCCTGCTCCCATGACCAGGAGTAACCTTCTCTGCTAAGTGTTGGCTTGGCAGTTTCCTTTATTCCTGTCCTCAGCCATCTCTCTGACACTTAATGCTTCATTTCACTGGTTTATTTTAAACTCGACACTGTGACAAAACTCAAAGGGCATCCATTTAATCTCAATACAGCTTAATCCTTGGCCATTTATGGGAAGTATCGCTTCACACCCTGAATAGTGGG